CTGCGTTACACACATCCACTTTTACCACAAATCTAATATACCCCTTAACTCTTTTTTGAGTACGGGTAGAAAAATCGTCTGTCCGCGAACGTTTTCGATGCGTGAATATCTCGCTTCTATTAGAATGCATAGAGAATGCATAGGCCGCTTCGTGAAAAAACGAACGATCGGGAATCGGCTTGGGTTTCATTCCTTATTTTTCTGTGCAATAATATGCATGATAGAACTTTCTTTGTGGAATCGGTTCCACTAAGCCTGCCAGGGAAGTAGTGAAGAACCAGTACTATGTTATACAAGGTCCGACTGGGAAACTCAAAACAGTTTCGGAAAATAAGAATTTTCTCGGCTTGCTTTCGCATCTCGTCATGAATCGAACATGTCGAAAAAATGCCGAATGTCTCAGGCCCACGACCCGAACGTCTCAGCACCACATCCGAATGGCCTGGGGGTGCTGGGACAGAAAACTCAGCTGCGACACGTTCGGTGTATGAACTGGCACATCTATATACTGTATGGTTAGTGATTCGACGTATCATAAAAAAAGCCACTGTTCCATCTGGTTGGGAACTCTTGAATTAAATTTAAGATCTTTTCTGTATTCTGCACCGCTCTTAGTTTTGCAAATGCAATTTGACTGCTCTTAAAAAACTGCACAATTATTTTACATTTTAAGTACGGTCCTTGAATCGAATTTAGTTTTAATGCATCTTGCACAACCAAATTAATCGAATGGGCAAAATATGGAAAAGGTCTTTTTTTTAAGTTTGTACGCCAAAACGACATTAGCTGCATTATCTGTGACTATATCAGTAAGCAGGTTCGAGCAGGTTCCATTCTACCAAAACATTCTTTCTAGTATCTGCAATGTTATCTGCGTTATGGTTAAACTCGAATTCCAGCTGGCAAGTAGTGTTGCCAGTGTTAAGGGGTATATTAGATTTGTGGTAAAAGTGGATGTGTGTAACGCAGAGAAGGAAACGTTTCCGACCCCATAAAGTATATATATTCTTGATCAGCATCAATAGCCGAGTCGATATAGCCATGTCTGTCTGTCCGTCTGTCTGTCTGTCTGTCTGTCTGTCCGTCTTGTTGACGCGACTAGAGCTATAGGCTAGGGCAACCAAATTTGGTTTCCAGACTCATGTGATATCCCACTGCTAATGTATTTTTGCCCAGCCCCCTTCCGCCCACACAAAGAACGAAAATTGTGGAGGCATTGATACGATAAAACTAAAAACGCATTATCGTATAAAATGCCCATATCTACCAGACTTCCGAATCTGAATCAGATCGGATCATAATTATAGCCAAAATGAAGAAATTAATTTTCAGTTGCTTCCCTTCCCCTCCCACCCACGACAACGCAACTCATTTCCTCTCGCTCGCACACTCTGCCGCGTTCAGTGCAGCAACCAGGGAAGTAAATCTAAATGGTACATGTACAACTACATGTTAGATGTAGAATGACATTTTATATGTAGATGTAATGCAGATGTAGCAAAAAATGTAAAATGTATTTTTTCCCGCGGGGGGTGTGGAGTGGAGGGCGCAGGGGAACGTCCGACCCCATAAGTATATATATTCTTGATCAGCATCAATAGCCGAGTCTATATAGCCATGTCCGTCTGTCCGTCCGTCTGTCCGTCTGTCCGTCTTGATGAGCGCCTGGATCTCAGAGACTATAAGAGCTAGCGAAACCAAATTTGGTTTCCAGACTCATGTGATATCACACTGCTACAAGTGTATTTCAAAATTTCGCCCCGCCCCCTTCCGCCCACACAAAGGACGAAAATCTGTGGCAGGCACAGTTTTAAAGATACGATAAAACTAAAAACGCAGTATCGTAGAAAATGCCCATATCTACCAGATTGCCGAATCTGAATCAGATCGGATCATAATTATAGCCAGAATGAAGAAATTAATTTTCAGTTGCTTCCCCTCCCCCTCCCGCCCGCGACAACGCATCTCATTTTCCTTCTCGCTCGCACACTCTGCCGCGTTCAGTGCGCGAGCAACCCCTAGCGGAGGAGATGTAGAATCTAAATGGTACTTGTACAAACTACATGTTAGATGTAGAATAGACATTGTAGATGTAGATGTAGATATCATATGTAGCAAAAAAATGTAAAATGTAAAATTTTTTTTTTTTCTAAAATTCTTAAAAATCATAAGCTAAAAAGTATATACTGTACTGAGTACGGGTATAAGTAGAGTCGCGTCCCCAGAAGCGACTCACACGTTCCTTCTCGTTTTTTTTTAATTCTAAAATTCTAAAAAATCATAAGCTCAAAAATGTATATACTGACTGAGTACGGGTATAAGTAGAGTCGCGTCCCCAGAAGCAACTCGCACGTTCCTTCTCGTTTTTTTTTTTGAATAGATATTCTTTTGTTAAGGCTCTTAATTCTTAAATAAATTCTTATCTTGACATAAAACGTTCTTATATCTAAATTATTTTTAACTGTTTCGGAAGCCATTAACAATTTTTGTTTAACATTTTTTTGTTATGCTAAACTGTTCTTTGCACGTGCTTGCGGCAAATACTACAATACGCCATTTTTGTTGTGCACAAGGGTTAAGGTTTCCGCAAAAAATTTGTCCGTACCCAACCTTTTACTACAACAAGCGAGCGCGCACTGAACGTTAAGGTCCTGAAACTCGAACGATTCGGCAGCCGACGAGACCACCTTATATAATTGCATCATGGACGAGACCACCTTATATAATTGCATCATGAGCTGCGGACCCTTGTCCGGGCTGCGCTGCCGCTGCTGCCGTCGCTGCCCACGCCCGTGGCTTTCTTGCTGTTGGCCGCTCTCGGGCTGCTGCCGGCGCCCTTGCTCTCTCTCGCTCTCCGGGTCGCGTCGTCGTTCTCTTTGTTCTGCTTGTGGTTCTCGGCCTCGTCGTCGCCCTCTCTGTTCTGCTGCTGGCTCTCTACTCGCGTCGTCGCTCTCTCTGTTCTGCTGCTGGCTCTGTTTTCTGGATCTCTCTGCTCTGCTCTGCTGCTGGCTACCGTGGGCCGCGAACTTAAATTATGACTTGAGAATTTCACCTTACAATATAACTTAGAAAATAATAATAGAAAATTATAAACTTAATAATATAACACAAGACTTCATAATTACTCTCCTAAATGCTTAATAAAAATACAAAACAAGATAATTCCCTAGTGAAAACTAAACCATATATAATAAAAACTTCATAATAAATCCTCATGGTGTCCCTGCTCAGTACTTAAACCTACCAAAATTGTGAGTCGTCACAACTCTAATAAATTTGTGGTTGTTGATCGTCGCCTATAAATCCGTGCTGGGACGGAGATATAAGTGATTTGCAGAGATGTTGCAAATGCGGAGTTAAAATTTTTTCAAACATTTTAGGAATAGCGGATAACTTAGATATATCTCTATAATTATTTGCATCAGACTTGCTACCTTTCTTATGGAGCGAAATAATAAAAGATTCCTTCCAGATGGGGGGGAAGCATGAAGAGTTAATGGATAGGGTGAATAGTTTAAGCAAGTGTCCACACAGAGCGTCGGAACAGTACCTAAGTACATAGCCGGGCACTCCGTCGGGACCTGGCGAAAACACCGGCTTAACTAGTCGAAGATCATGAAGCAGTGAGCTTTTATTTAACAAGGGGCTGAAGATATGGTACTAGCAACATTTGGTTGGGCTTCCAGCAACATGCCGAGACCCGACCCGACCGACCCCAACGAATATACCATATATATATATTATTGTACTGGCAAAAGAGCGCGCGAATTACCGTTTTGAATCGGGGAGACAGATTCGTGGCGCCCGCTCGCGTTGTGTGTCCCCACCATCGCACATCCGCAGCAACATTTGACTCGTGCGAGGCGAAGCAGCAGCAGCAGCAGCGGCCTCAAAAAGCGTCAGAACAGATTGCAGCAGCAGTAGAAGCAAAGTAGAAGCAGTAGAGGAAGCTTTAGTGACCTGAGTCTCGAGTCGACAGCCAGCCTGGTCGCCCCTGGAGCCGCATATAATATATGCCCCTCCTGACGATGATGAGCCAGTGGTGTCCCATGAGCGTTGGGCTGTGCAGGTGGCCCGCGCCGAGGCCGAGGAATAACCATTAAAAAACCAATAAACAATATTATTGTTCGGAGCAGCAGCCGATAATAGTTCTTCTTAATATCATATAGTCATACATCATCTCTTATACTGCTTATACTTGTCGCTCTCTCAGTACGCTCCCGTACACACGCACATATGCTAGTACTGCTTATAGTGCATTGCTTCGCCCTGTTCTCGGTTCAGTCCAAAGATTCGTCGAACGCATCGCATCGAGTCGTAGTTCACGGCCACGGCCTCAAACCATTTGTAACCCGTCGTGAAAATAAAACCCATTTGTAAACTTAACCAACGGAGTAAATTATTGTAAATGTGGAGTCAGAGTTGCCGAAAAAGCTCGGCAGCTTCCAACATTTTGGTGACCCCGACGTGATCGCCGTGGACTTACAGTGCGTTGAAAGTGTTTAAACCATTCAATCAATCCAAATTTGAAGGTTTAACGTGACATTTGTGAAAAAGTAGCGAACCAAAAGTCGTTGTGACCGACCTTAGCAGTTCTAGCGGCCCGCTATTCGTTTTCGTATTCTCTTTCACCGTCTGCTTCAGCCTGCGCAACGCACTGTCGAGACTGGCTGCATAGAGTTCTAAGCGTGGTCCGTTAGTTTTCTTCGCCTCCTCTTTGGTCGTTTGCTTCAGCCAGCTCTTGTGAGAGGCTGCAGTAATAACTCTCTGAAATTCGAACTCGAAAGCAGAGTACATCTCTCTTTGCATAATTGTTGGTTTTCCGTCGTCGCTTCGTTGCTTTTACCGGTGCATACCTATCGCATATATAAGTGCCAAAAAAGTGAACGCAAAGGTGTTTGAACTCGTTTTGAACTCGTTTGAACTCGCGCGTTGCGTAATAATATTTAATTGTGATCGACTAGCACCCTCCGCGTCAACCGTTTTCTATAACCAAAACCATGGGCAAGAAAAAGAATAGCAGAAAGAGTGGATCGTTTGCTATGGACAATGAAAGTGATTCTGTGACATTTGGCGCTGCGCCATCGGGCGAAAGTTTTAGTGCGAATGCAGCCAGCACCCAAGTCCCTGTTCCGGTATCTCGTATTTCCTTCATGAGACTGAAGGCTAGAGCTATTTTCGATCGGCTAGAGTCCATACGCACAGAGATGGATAGTGAAAAGTTGCGTCAAATGGATGAATACGACTTGCGAGGGCTGTTGGAATCATTGACGGAGCTTAAGTCAAATTTTGTTGTGGCACACACCAGTTTGGAGGATTTGGATTTCGAGTCAATGTCCAGTGAAATTCCTGCCAAATTCGACTCGTCGATATTGTCGTTGAGGACCATTCTTCAGCGCGAGCTTGGAAGTCGCTCGAGCAATAAGCATTGTTCCACATTAAACGCCAACTCTAGTGAATCGCAGTCAATCGTCATAATGTCTAATCGATCTCGGTTACCTCATCTGGAGCTGCCCAAATTCAGTGGAATTTATACGGAGTGGGCCAATTTCTTCTCAATGTTCACAGCGATTATTGACAAGGAGTCTGAGCTGAGCCCTATCGAAAAAGCTGCAGCATCTACGTTCCTGCTTGAGTGGCGCAGCCCTGAATACCATCAGCTCGTTGGAAATAAATGAAGCTAATTATATCATAGCATTAGACATTCTGAAGCGACGCTTTGATAATAAACGTTTTATTTTGCAGGCACACATCAGAGGGATATTTGGGTTGGAGAAGGCTGACGCATCGGTGGGCAGATTGAGGGAATTGACCGACAGAGTTACATCGCATATTCGTGCTATGGAGTCGCTTGCAAGCAAGGAAGAAGTGGCGGATTGCATTATCGTGCAGACTGTTCTTCAGAAGCTGGACAAAGCTTCTCAAAATAGATGGGAGGAGTCTTCGTCGAATCAAGAGCTGCCATCTTGGGAGAAACTGTCTGGATTCTTGGAAAAAAGATGTCGCACGCTTGAAAATGTGGATCAAGGACAAGGACAAGGACAAGATGGTCAGGTTGGCAAGTCCGGAAAAACCGTGAGTACGCATCAAAGAAAGACATTTGTAGCATCGAACGCTCCAGTTTCTTGTGAACTGTGCGAGAGTACTCATCACATGATTGCCAATTGTCAACGGTTTGCAATTCTATCGCCGAATGATCGTCGCCTGGAAGCCAAGAGGCTCTTGCTATGCCTAAATTGCCTACGAAAAGGCCATCAATTGAGAGATTGTAGATCAGGTCCCTGCCGCACTTGCCGATCGAAGCACCACACGCTTTTGCATTTCATTCGTCCAACAGAGGCTGCCCAATCTGTTCCTCCAATTGAAGCCTCACCAGCACAACCAAGTCGTAACGCCATGGTTGCAGTATCGCCCTCCTTGCCTCAAGCCTTTATGTCCCACAGTCCATCTGATGCTGTGCTTTTAGCCACTGCCGTCGTTCTTGTAAAAAACAGCGTTGGAACTTTCGTACCCTGTCGCGCATTTTTGGATTCGGGATCGCAATTGCATTTCATAACTAGTCGTCTAGCTAATCAGCTAAAACTTCGAACAACCAAATCGCTTACCGCTGTCTCTGGCATAGGAGATGCTAGCTTCCCAACAGAAGGTATCTCGGTGGATCTCGTTCTGAAATCGCGGATTTCAGAGTTCACCACTAGCATCACTGCCGTCGTTGCCCAGAAGATCACGGACCATCAACCTAGCATCACAGTTAGCACTGCTAGTTGGCCTATACCGTCGAATATCCAGCTTGCTGACCCTTCGTTCCATAAGCCACAGCGGATTGACCTGCTCATCGGAGCCGGACTTTTCTTCGAGTTGCTGTGTGTGGGGCAAATTCAGCTGGCGCCTGGACTACCGTTGCTGCAGAAGACACATCTAGGATGGATTCTTTCTGGTGGCGGGCACTCGGCCCTCAATAACTCGTCGTTCATCGCAACCCAATCTTCGGATGACATCAATCACAGCACTCGGCTCGATGAGTTGGTTCGTCAATTTTGGGAAGTGGAGCACATCTTTGAGCCAATCGTTAGGGCAACAAAGGAGGAGCTGCACTGCGAGGACCACTTTGTCAAACATCACACTCGATTACCCTCAGGAGAATATTCTGTTAGCTTGCCCATGAAGCGAAGTCTGGAGTCCTTGGGCGATTCCTACTTGCAAGCAAAGCGGCGGTTGGAAAATTTGGAGCGCAAATTCGTGCGTAATCCAGTTTTATATTCGAAATATTCGGCATTTATGAAGGAGTACCTGTCCCTTGATCATATGTCTCTGGTTCCAAATGAAGATAGACACAAGTGCAGATATTTCTTGCCGCATCATTGCGTCATTAAAGAGGATAGCTCCACGACAAAGCTGAGAGTCGTATTCGACGGCTCTGCAGTTACCACATCTGGTCTCTCGTTGAATGATCTGCTTATGTCAGGTCCCACCATTCAATCCAAGCTGTTTCACACTCTCCTTCGATTTCGTACATGTTCCATTGCTCTTACAGGCGATATCGGTAAGATGTATAGGTGCGTGCGTGTCTCAATGCCCGACACCATGCTCCAATGCATCTTGTGGAGGGACTCTGTTGACGACGATATAAAGATCTTCAAGCTAAACACCGTCACCTATGGGACTAAGCCTGCATCGTTTTTAGCTATTCGAGCTATGCATCAGCTGGCCATGGATGAGTCGTCTTCGTATCCATTGGGTTCGGAAACCATTCTACAGGACTTCTACGTAGACGATATGATTTCTGGAGGAAATTCAGTCGAGGAAGTGCTGGATATTATGCGTCAAACCACGGAGCTTCTTGCTTGTGGCAATTTTCAGTTAAGGAAATGGTGTTCAAACTCTCCTGATGTTCTTCGTGAAGTCCCTGAGGCAGAAAGGGAAAGTTTTCTGAAGCTCGATGATGGCAGCGATGTGACCAAGGCGCTTGGACTCATCTGGGAACCCCAGAGGGACAAGTTCCTGTTTACTTTTGCACCTCAAATCGGTGTTGGCAAGCACACTAAGCGTTCGGTGTTGTCAACCATTGCACGGTGCTATGATCCTATGGGATTGATTGGACCCACATTGACCAGAGCGAAAATCATCATGCAGCGCATGTGGAGAGACAAGCTGCATTGGGATGAAAGTCTTCCTCAGCCACTGGAATCGGCTTGGACTGAGTTTTGCAAGGACTTCGCTACTGTGGGTAACGCTACATTTCCGCGTTATATATTTCAACCTAAGGCAAGGTTTGAGTTGCATGCCTTTTGTGATGCCAGCCTCCAGGCCTATGGGGCTTGTATCTACGCTCGTTCGTTTAGGGATACCGCCGATGAGGTACATTTGCTTTGCTCGAAGGCTAGAGTTGCACCATTGAAAACCCTCACGGTGCCTAAGCTTGAGCTATGTGCAGCGTTCCTGTTAGCCAATTTACTTCGCGAAATTAGGAAAATCGATACCTTCGACTGCCCGATCCATTGCTGGTCGGATTCAACTGTGGTACTGTCTTGGTTGCGAGAGGAACCATCCAAATTCAACGTGTTTGTGTCTAACAAGATTTCCGCAATACAGCAACTTACGAGGGGCATGGATTGGCGCTATGTACCAACTGAAATGAACCCGGCTGACATTCTTTCAAAGGGAGCAGCGCCTCAGGAGCTCTTGCAGTCTAGGTTGTGGATGAATGGACCTTCTTTCTTGCAAGGCGAAAGAAGTAACTGGCCTGAACGTTGTTCGCCCGAACTCAGTCTTCCGGAAATTAGGCATCGAGTATTGCTGTCGTCTGAGCGTGTCGACATCTCGCTTTCGTTTAAGCACATTAACTCATTCGGAGTCATGATGCGCATTTTCGGATACGTTCATAAGTTCGTCAGCAAGAAAAGGTCACTTGATCTCTCGTTTGAAGACCTTCGCAAAGGATCGCACTTGTTGTGTCGCATCGTTCAACGCGCCCACCTTCATCCCGAGTACCGTGCTCTGCGGAAGGGGAACTGTGTGGAGTCCTCCAGCAGCATTATATCTCTCTCGCCTTTCATAGATGACGTTGGTTTGATTCGTGTTGGTGGTCGCTTGCGGCACTCAACTCTTGGCTTCGATGCACGCAACCCAATAATTTTGCCCAGGGATCATCCATTGACGTTCGCCATCATCATGCACTTTCATCGGAAGCATCACCATGCTGGGCCGCAGTCTCTACTGGGATCTATTCGCTTGCAGTTCTGGCCCATCGGCGGCATGAAAACTGTTGCTCGAGCGTTGCGGAAATGCATCATCTGCTGCAGGTCCAGACCTCGTCTTGTGAAACACATAATGGCTGACCTACCGAAGGATCGAGTGCAGGATTCGCCTGCATTCAGCGTCACTGGAATCGATTACTGTGGTCCCTTCTATTACAAGCCAGATGGCCGCACTCGAACGCCTACAAAATGCTACATCAGCGTCTTCATCTGTTTTGCAACAAAGGCCGTTTGGTTGGAATTAGTGAAGGACCTCACAACTGCTGGATTTTTGAGTGCCCTCAAACGCTTCGTTGCCACGCGCGGCATACCCCGATGCATTTGGTCGGACAATGCCACCAATTTTGTGGGCGCAAGGAACGAGTTGGAGGACCTTCGGCGGCTGTTTATGAGCGAGAAGCATCGTGATGCAGTTCATAATCATTGCATCAACAATGGCTTCAATTGGAAGTTTATCCCGCCTCGCTCACCCCACTTCGGGGGCTTGTGGGAGGCAGCAGTGAAGATGGCCAAGCAGCATTTATATCGCTCCCTGGGATCGTCACTCTTTGGTTTTGACGAGCTGCGGACATTGGTCTGCCAAATCCAGGCTGTAATAAATTCTCGTCCTCTTCTCGCAATTTCAGAAAACCCTGAAGATCTTGGCGTCCTTACACCAGGACATTTTCTAATTGGTCGTCCGCTGATGGAGTTTCCCGAGCCAGATGTTACAAATCTGAACTTTAACAGACTAGATTGCTGGCAAAGAGTCGCCTGTGCTCAGCAGATCTTTTGGAAGCGTTGGAGTGAGGAGTATTTGACTCTGCTACAACAACGTGCCAAATGGCGCACACCGCAGCCATCGATCCAAGTCAACGACATCGTCTGTATAAAGGACGAAAACTTGCCGCCGTTGAAGTGGCCATTAGCACGGGTGATCGACATCATCGCTGGAGCTGATGGCACTGTGCGAGTTGCCGTCCTGAGAACACCGTCTGGAACCACTCGTCGAGCTGTCAACAAGCTGTGCGTCCTACCCGTTGAGGATCCTGTTAAAAGCCCTAGTCTTTCAACGGGGGGGAGTATGTTCGGAGCAGCAGCCGATAATAGTTCTTCTTAATATCATATAGTCATACATCATCTCTTATACTGCTTATACTTGTCGCTCTCTCAGTACGCTCCCGTACACACGCACATATGCTAGTACTGCTTATAGTGCATTGCTTCGCCCTGTTCTCGGTTCAGTCCAAAGATTCGTCGAACGCATCGCATCGAGTCGTAGTTCACGGCCACGGCCTCAAACCATTTGTAACCCGTCGTGAAAATAAAACCCATTTGTAAACTTAACCAACGGAGTAAATTATTGTAAATGTCGAGCGTTGCCGAAAAAGCTCGGCAGCTTCCAACAATTATGCTATAAATTTTTGAGTTTATTTATTTGCATTAAAACTACCTAACTACGTAACTACTAACTAATACTACCTAACGTCTTCCAGCTTCATGTAGTCCTCCTGCAAATTGTGCCAGAAATATGGAGCCTGCCTTTCTTAAGCTCCGGTACGTGCCCGGCTGCTAACAAACTGATCTCGCCCTGCAGGCATGTCTGGAATATCTCCAACTCATCAGTGTTAACGTTGTGTAAGCTGATTTGGTCAGACGGGCACAGTCCGAAAAACTTTTGAAGCGTTAATCTTAAGTTGGCAAGCTGCCTCCCCTTGTACTCCCGGTGAGGAGACAGCGCTACAGCTGTATCTGCCTGGTCCAACACCGATTGCCAAGTATCCTTCTTAAAAATGCTCCTCATGTACACCCTTCGCAATACTCGGTCTTTGTAAAGGTACCGCTCTGCCAAATTATTTTTCAAATGGATGTAGTCCCGCAGCACCGGCAAATGCGCGTAGTGGTAAGTATGAAATTCCGCTTTCCCATTTGCAACATTGCCGTCGCTTATAACGCCCAAGACTCTATTCGAAAAGCTTATCCCGTTCTCCTTCATCCCTCCTATGCGGTCCAGCATTGTCCTTGCCCATGGTCGTGTCTTCTGTGACTGCCTGTTAAATAAAAATATTTTGATATACTTTTCCAGACATGATATTGCTTTGACTTACCACCGCAATGTGGAGTACTTTAAATCGGCTGTCCAGCTCAGCAGTATGAGCCGCAATTACCAGCATTTTTATTCTGGATGGAATGCCATGCTATTTTGGATAACATATATTGAGCAAATTGCAACAGCCATGCTTAAATAACATCATACTTACACCTGTTTCAAACTGTTTCACGTGCAGTTCGTCGTAAGTGACGAAGAACGGTGAGAACGTCCGCAACACCTCTACGCTTTCCACTATAGACCGCTGTGTGTGGCCGTTATTAATTTATGATTGTACGAATTCTAGTGCGGATTCTACATCAGCAGGACGGTGCCGAAAGTTTTCGCTTTTTAGGAAATATTCCCTGATTGTCTCCATTGTGTTCTTTATGTTTTCCTTTTTTGCTTTGATTGCAAATAGATCCAAATAACTGTTCATTTCGAATATTTGAGGGGTATATTCGATTTGTGGTAAAAGTGGATGTGTGCAACGCAGAGAAGGAAACGTTTCCGACCCCATAAAGTATATATATTCTTTATCAGCACCACCAGCATCTACATTGTAGATGTAAAATCTACATATTAAATATTTTAAAATTCCACATATATCATAAGCTCACATATTTATATACTGACTGAGTACGGGTATAAAAGTAGAGTCGCGTCCACAGAAGCGCCTCACAACGTTTTTTCTCGTTTCTATTTAAATTGTATGAAAGACTGATGTGCTGTCATGCCCATTGCTACCATGTCTGCCTGCCCCTTGCCAGCAAGGTCAAGGCAGTGAACACAAAGGATAGCAGAACGCATACTGATGCATATGGCGGCAGTTCGTTGTACTTTGCCCAGTTGTTGGTGATTGTTCTTTTTGATATGGCAGGCCACCATACTGTAACTGCATAGAGTAGTATAGGTGTAACTCTTTCTTTGATGTTCAGGTTCCAATTGAGCTTCTTGTCAATTAGCTACTCTAAGTAATTTTGTACTTATTTGTGAATAACACAATATCCGATTTCGAAGGATATGGTAGATATGGACATTCTCTATGATACTGCGTTTTTAGTTTTATCGTATCTTTAAAAGTGTGGCTGACAAAGATTTTCGTCCTTTGAGGAGGCGGGGCGAAATTTTGAAATACACTTGTAGCAGTGTGATATCACATGAGTCTGGAAACAAAATTTGGTTCCTCTAGCTTTTATAGTCTCTGAGATCCAGGCGTCAAACAAGACGGACGGACGGACAGACAGACATGGCTCTATCCACTCGGCTATTGATGCTGATCAAGAATATATATACTTTATGGGGTCGGAAACGTTTCCTTCTCTGCGTTACACACATCCACTTTTATCACAAATCTAATATACCCCTTAACTCTTTTTTGAGTACGGGTAGAAAAATCGTCTGTCCGCGAACGTTTTCGATGCGTGAATATCTCGCTTCTATTAGAATGCATAGAGAATGCATAGGCCGCTTCGTGAAAAAACGAACGATCGGGAATCGGCTTGGGTTTCATTCCATATTTTTCTGTGCAATAATATGCATGATAGAACTTTCTTTGTGGAATCGGTTCCACTAAGCCTGCCAGGGAAGTAGTGAAGAACCAGTACTATGTTGCAACCACTTATACAAGGTCCGACTGGGAAACTCAAAACAGTTTCGGAAAATAAGGATTTTCTCGGCTTGCTTTCGCATCTCGTCATGAATCGAACATGTCGAAAAAATGCCGAATGTCTCAGGCCCACGACCCGAACGTCTCAGCACCACAGCCGAATGGTCCCAGCACCCCAGCCGAAGGCCTGGGGGTGCTGGGACAGAAAACTCAGCTGCGACACGTTCGGTGTATGAACTGGCACATCTATATACTGTATGGTTAGTGATTCGACGTATCATAAAAAAAGCCACTGTTCCATCTGGTTGGGAACTCTTGAATTAAATTTAAGATCTTTTCTGTATTCTGCACCGCTCTTAGTTTTGCAAATGCAATTTGACTGCTCTTAAAAAACTGCACAATTATTTTACATTTTAAGTACGGTCCTTGAATCGAATTCAGTTTTAATGCATCTTGCACAACCAAATTAATCGAATGGGCAAAATATGGAAAAGGTCTTTTTTTTTTAAGTTTGTACGCCAAAACGACATTAGCTGCATTATCTGTGACTATATCAGTAAGCAGGTTCGAGCAGGTTCCATTCTACCAAAACATTCTTTCTAGTATCTGCAATGTTATCTGCGTTATGGTTAAACCCGAATTCCAGCTGGCAAGTAGATAATACAGTAGACTTTAATTCAAAAGAAGCGGACAAATAGTGACAAGTCACGGAAACAAAATAATCATTAGCCCTTGAAGACCATCCATCTGTTGTTATTGCAACAGTCAGTTTTGTCTTAGATGTTCTTCAGCTGGATCACTTCTTCTTTGTATAATTCAGGAATCAGGACGTTGCTCACGATTTTTCTTGACGGTAATCGATATCGCTGGTCAATTAATTTTAAAAGTGCACCTAAGCCTCGATTTTTAACCATATTGAATGCCATATCCGGCCAGGCGAAAATCCTCCAGCTGAACCCTCCCAGAGGGTGCCGGCCGGGCAATGGGCACTGCATTACCCCGGATCGGGTAATGCATTGCCGTTTGCTCTGTCCGAGGTAATGCAGTGTCTAGCTAAGGCCAGGTCCAGGTCTTCCCGATATAAAATTGGGGGAACTGAACCATGGCCATGGCTGGAGGTGCCTGGCGGACAGACATAAAACGCTAGGGGGTGGTCCCCCCGATAAATATTAACCACATGGACCGGAGTAAGGATCAAGCAGGGACTGGGATGTCAGTCCAAACGTCGGTGGAAAGCGTGACTGCTACCACCGGCGGGCACGGGGAGGAGCAATCCTCTCTGCGTGTCGCCAGCGGTCACAACTCTGATATGGCGGGAGCAGGTCATATTAGTTTTAAAGCTACTGCCACCAAAACGCCTCTCTGCAAGCTGAGCCGCACGGGTGCCGTGGTCGAAACAGACTCGGACCTGGAGAGCGTGCTCAGCGTAAGCAGAACGGAGGAAGAGAGCCTTCTCCGCTCGCCTGAACCAGGTACCAGCTCCCTGCGTAGGGAAGGGCCGAAGCGTTCTAGGGAGGGGATGAAGGCTAAGGCCCAATACAAGGCGGCGCTCAAGATTCGAAGCCGGCTCCAAGGCAGAGAAGACATCTCCCAAGAGGAGAAGTCCAAGCTAGCCTGGGCCGAGCAGAAGGTAGAGGAGGGCCGCCTACACTTTGCACAAATGCCGCAAATGAAAGCGACGAAGGGGGAATTTGCCGATCAAACGACACCTGATCGTGGCACTCATTGACCGGAGCGATGAGGCAAGACGACGGAGGCGCGGTGGAAGATGGTGCACGCGCAGCTCGTAGAGTCGCTGTTCGGAAGAATGGAGGAGGGCCCAACAGCCCCCATGCCCACGTTCGATGGTGCTGGATGGCTTAACGGGGTCAAAATACTGAAATGTATGGACGACCCCACACTCAAGTGGCTGACGCAAACGGTCTGCCAAATGGAGGCGATGTGGGAGGGGGCCAGACTAGAGGTTGTGGACAGGGAGCTAATCCCGTCCATACCAAAGGCGAAGGTACTCTTCCCCATCGCAATCCATGGAGACCGTGCGCTGAGGCTGCTACAGCGGCAGAACCCAGACGTGCCAACGGCGAACTGGAGGATCTTGCACTTTGGGAGCCCACTACCCAACGGGGCCCAGAGTGCGATCCTCCAAATCAGCAAGGAGGCAGAGGACCTGCTGTACCCCAGATTCGGGAAGATGGCGTGGGGCATGGGTAGCGTATACCTCCGCCTCAAAAAGCGCCACCCCGAAGACAAGGACACGCACACCCTGCAGGCAGGCGAGGTGGAGAAGGACCTCGGTCTGGAGTCCATCGTGTAGGCCGCTCAGGGTATGGCGCTGGACGACTCCGAAGAGGAGGAGGACGGAGACCTGACAGTAATAGTCAACCCGTCGAGTGTAGTTGAGCCAGCCTCCCATGTCAGTGAG